AATCATGACTTTTCAAAAGTGTCTAAATACTTATAAAACGTTTAAGTGTTTGATGCAAGCTCCCCAAATAAACAAAGAGATCACTCTGATTTTCTTTTTTATTTATAAAAGTAGTCCAAACTGTTTTTTAAAATTTACGTTTTTTGTAAAATCTATGGTGATAAGGGACAAAAATGAGTAAAGTAAAACTTTATCAATAGTCTTGGTCAATTTGGAAAAAAAAATAAATAAATTATGATACCATCACTAGTTTGATCACTATGTTTTTTTTAGCAGCCACTAGGTTGATCACTAAGAAAACAATTTATGAAGACTATCATGGAAATATAACTTTCACACGAATTTGATAGATATCTTATCTGTATTACATTTAACTAGATTTTAACCCTGTGCGTCCGCACGAAAATGTTTTATTTTTTTATTTCTAATATAAGTTTCATTTATCTTTTTTGTTTAGATATAATTTGTTTCTGTTATTTATTTTTTTAAATTAAAAAATTGTTATCATATTTTAATTTTAAACAATAAAATTTGTATATTAGTAGAATAAGAGTACGCGTTAATTAAGTATACATTGATCTAATGTTAATTATAAACTTTGTTATTATGTGAATTTAGATTTACACATAAAAAATCTATATATCTATGAATTTGCTAATCCATCCGTTTAGTTGTCTTAAATCATTTTTAATATCTTACATGTTTTGACAAACTAACCCGTATAAGACTATAATTATAATTGTATAACCATATAAATATTTACTAATATGAAATATTTGGACCAATTGATTATGAAAAAAATATAATAAGATGTTTATTTATTATTTGTGCTATTAAAATATATATATATATAAACTGGCTAACCTGTTAGTTTAATTGTCTCAAATCATCTTAATATCTTACATGTTTTAATAAATTAAATCATGGACCTTAAATATATTTATATATATATATAACTCTAATCAGCTCGATCATATTATTGTATAATATAAATATTTATTAATCTCAAATATTTGATATTTTAGACCAATTTATTATGATAAAATACGATAAAATATTTATTTACTATGCATTTTATAAAAATATTATTTAAATTTTAAATTTTAAATTAAATCTCTCCTGTATTTAAGAAAATTTAAAGTATTAAAATTATTATCTAAATTTTCGTAATAAAATTTAATTATAATTTTTTAAAATTTTTTTTGAATTTTAATTAAATTGAATGAAAATTTTTGTAACTAAATTTAATTAAATTTCTAATAATTTGAAATTTAAATTAAAGATGACATAGATTTTAGGAAATCTAAAAATATCTAAATTAATGACTAATTTTCGGAAATTAAATATTAAAATAAAATAAAATATTATAAACAAAACTTTAGGAGTGTTTGGATGCAAGCACTAAATGTGCTTCTGTTTTAATAAAATAAACTAGATTCTAACCCCGTGCGTCCGCACATAAATACTTCATTTTTTATTTCTAATATAATTTTTTTAATAAATTTTATTTTTGTTTTTTATTTTTTTTATTTTAATTCAAGAATTTTGGTATCATGTTTTAATTTTGAAAATTATAGATTTATATATTAGTAGAATTAGAATATGAGTTAATTAAGTATATATTGATCTATAATGTTAATTATGAACTTTATTATTATGTAAATTTAGATTTATACATAAACAATCTATACATCTATGAATTAGTTAACCCGTCTATTTAGTTATCTCAAATATTTTTTTAATAGTTTACATGTTTTGATAAACTAACCCGTATAAGATTGCTATTATAAATATATAACTTTAACTTGCTCTATCATATTATTGTAAAATATAAATATTTACTAATATTAAATATTTGATGCTTTAGACGGATTGATTCTGATAAACAATACAATAAGATATTTGTTTACTATTTTTTTTGGTACGTAGATATTGTTTACTATTTGTGATATTATAAAAATCTTATTTAAATTTATAATTTTAAATTAAAGCTAACATGTATTTACAGAATTCTAAAGTAATTAAAATTATTGTCTAATATTTGTAATACAATTTATTAATAATTCTTTTGAATTTGAAATTAAATTGAATCTAATTTTTTCGTAATTAAATTTAATTAATAAAAATTTCGAATAATTTAAAATTTAAAATAAATATAACCTATATTTAAGGAAATCTAACAATATCTAAATTAGTAACCAATTTTTGAAATTAATTATAATATAAAATAAAAGGTAATAAATAAAATTTAGGTGTGTTTGGAAACAAATACTAAAAGTGATTCTGTTTTAATATAATAGATGAATGACTCGTCTTTTTTAGTTTAATAAGTTAACTAGAATTTCATTTCTTGCTGTAAATAGTAGAGTGTTTGATATAATGTTATTAGATATTGTTGGGAAAAACTCAGTCATTTGGGCCTGGCCCAGTATGATTAAAGTCCAGAAATAACTAAGATGGTCTGCGAGATACGCATTGAGGGCTGGCTGTAAAAATCGCACGCAGCGATAACATTCAACCAAAAAGAGAATATTCCTAAGAGGAAAAAGATAAGGATGCTAATTCCTACACGAAGGAGGAATAAGAAAACTTAAACGCGAACCCTATAAATAGCAGGGAGAAAGAACCTAATAGGGACATTGAAAGAGTTTACAACAGAGAGAAGTTTAAGCAATTCAAAGCGAGAACTCTAGCAGCAGCGACTAGCATCCTTAAACCCTAGACCTCTAAGATCTTGACTGCTGCTTGGTCTACTGTTTCTTTGCGCATTCTGTAGGCTTGTTAAACGAATCACATATTTTACCCCAAACAGATATCATAATTGTTAGAAATATACCACGGTAATAAACCAAAAAAACTGATCCAATCTTATACATATTCTTCAACAGAAAAAAAACTTATATGTATAGAGTTTTTTTTTCTTTATTAAAATTAATTTATGGCCAACAAATTGATCATATATGGTGGTATAATGATCGAACTATATATCATTGTTAGTAAAGGGATCATGATTTGAGTAGGTTGATTGTAATAGTAATGTACGTTAGCAAATGTAGTTTAGTGGAGGAAAATTATCTGCACTACATGTCAAGCACATCTCTGCTTTTAACTTACATTTTTTTTTCCTTTTTTTTTTGTTTATTTATGTTTTTAGTAAATTTTGTTTTCTTTGAATTATGTCCTATTAGATGTAACAAAAAAATAAAGAAAGATAGATATCTCCTACTAATTGGACAGTATATTTGATGAGCACATCAAGTCATATTTTTCTATCAACATATATACAGTCACTTTTGTAATCTATGCTAGGCTACGTGTGTCAGGGTTAATGCAACCGAACTATTTCGTTCTTGGTGACGATAAAATGTTCATCACTGTATGCTTCAGGTTAGTGCAGCCTTTCTTCGGTTTAGGTGAGGATCAAAAGAAATAATAAACATAACTACGTACTTTACTTTACTACTTAATTTTTAAGACCTTTCTCTAAATAAGGTCTTGTGGGGATTTGGGGATGGCGGCAAGCATTGGTTTTGATCTTCAATTCTTTTCTTGCTAGGAGGTAACCAGTGTATTATTTTATAACTTGAAAAATATAAAATATCTTTTTTATACTCCATATATTATAGGAGGAGAAATGATACACGGCTTCACTACAAACCAACAAACTCAAGTCAACTCTCGAATATATCATATTACTAGCGAACAAGCATAGTATATAACAATTTTCTGTTTATTTCGTTTCCAAGGAAAAGCAATTGCAACAATCAAATTTCGTCTTTGGGTAAATAGGGTTATTTATCGTACTTGTTTGGATAATGTTAACCGCCACTCCTTAGATGAAAGAATATCTTTAAATTCAGAGGCAAAATGTTCAAAGAGTTGAATTTAGCTCAAATTTAATCTTGAAATTTACGTTCTCTGTTTCTAGTTAGAGAAGTTTTCTGGACTACTGAAAGTGGGAGTCAAAAGTGAAGCATTTTTCTGCAATCTATAAATATTTTTTCTTTGTTGTTTTCAAACCTGTACAAGATTCGACACCGAAACATTTGACATTTCGATAACGTGCTGAAGTCACATGGTGACTTTTTTAAGTAAAACTCCTTCATTATTTCTCATAGTATTCGAGACGACTTAATTGAGTCTTATAATTAATTAATGAACACGTAATCATTTCAAGGGTAAAATATTTAGAATTATACATGCTTCAAATTCAATTTTGATTCCCATGAGCTACCCTAAACCAGCCGTAATTCTCATTTTTCGTTGTTGTATAGTTAAAAAATAATAGAAAAATTACTCATTTTAATTATCGTAAGTCACAAAAGATTTCAATATTTTTCTTATTTCGATATTGACAATTTTGTTTTGGGTTTAAATCGATATTGACAATTAAGTTTCACTACTTTACTAATAAAATACTGTTTTCGTTCTTGCCCGACAAAAAGAAAGTTATTCTTGCCGTTGTATTTGAAAGTATTAATTTTATCAAAAATTTGAAAAGATGTAGATATTTGTATCAGACGGCAAAAGGATTTCATTTATATTTGAGAGCTTTTCATACGACTCAAATTCATCTTTTGTTCACGAACGTTGACTTGTACCAATCTAATACTCGTAAGCAACGAAATCACAATAAGTTTAAAATTTCAAAAATATTTGCTTTTGCCGTGGAAAGTGGAAACAGGTCTACGTGTGAGTTAGACTATAAAAAAGAAGAAATATGTATAAAATGAATTATGAACCTATTAATTTTTTGAAGTATCAAAGACTTCATTTTTATAACTTTTAAGTAAGAAAAATCACAAATACAGCAAACTATTTACATGGTTGATACTTGATATAGTGATACCTCTAATCGTCAATCGGGGAAATATAACCATGGGCATATTTTTGATACTCGTTTAAAACTAATTAGCTCTTAATGGGTTTATATTTAATTTTATTGGGCTATTTTATGGGCCTACTAAAGCATTTGACGTAGTTGCTTCCAGAATCATTTCATAAACCCTATCAAACTCTTTCTTCTCTGTGTCTCAATTCTCTCCAAATCTTCCTTCGCTCTTCTCGTTTCAAAGGTAATCAGAATTATCAAAAATGGGAAGCCAACAAGCAGCAGTTTCGTTCCTTTCCAATTTAGCGAAGGCGGCGTTCGGTCTGGGAACGGCGGCGACGGTGCTGAATTCGTCGCTTTTCACCGTGGACGGCGGAGAGAGAGCGGTGCTCTTCGATCGATTCAGGGGAGTTATGGATCAGACGGTCGGCGAAGGGACTCATTTCCTGATCCCGTTTCTCCAGAAGCCTCACATCTTTGACATTCGCACGAAGCCTCACACATTCTCTTCAATCTCCGGTACGAAGGATCTCCAGATGGTTAATCTCACCCTACGTGTTCTCTCTCGCCCTGAGGTATATACAATATTTTGAACTATACTCGCATGATTCCCCCGGAAATTTGGAAATTTTACCAAAGTTTCAATTTCATATCGGAATTAGAACTTAGGGTTTAAGTTTGAGGAATAATATTGGATTAAGCAATGTAGAATCGTTGTTAGTGCAGATAAATACGTTTAGTCCTATCCAGTGTTAATACATATACATATGGTTTACAGAAATGTAGATAATCTGCGTCTACACACTCTTAACTCACCACTTTATATCAAGAAAAGATGAATTAGTCATTTAATGATAAGAGATTTCGAGCATTTGATTTGTTTAGGTGATGCAATCATGCCTTAATATAAGGTTTAGAGTATGAAGAAATAGTATTAGTATCTTTATGCTGCTTTAATCATATGTTATATTTTGAGTATTTGACCTTTTTTGAGAATGCGATGTGACCTTGTTAGTGTAAATATATACTCTGTTGTTACTTGTTAATACAGATAGATAATTTACTGATAGTAGCTAATCTGCGTTTTTGCATTCTTACTCAAGCTCAAGTTCAATTCTTCCAAAGAAAGATCTCTTGGGTACCACTTAGGTTCGAGAAGAGATGAATTAGTATCTTTGTTAGTTCAAAGATACGAGATTTCAAATAGTTGACTTGTTTATGTGATGCAATCATGCTTTGATGTTACACGTCTCCCATTTATTTTCCAAATCTTAGGTTTAGTGTATGAAGATATAATACTAGTATCTATATGCTATTTGACCTTCTTAGTGAATATGATGTGATCATGATATCCTCAAGGTTCTGCGTCTGCCATACATTTTCCAAACATTGGGTCTAGAGTATGACGAGAAGGTTCTTCCTTCGATCGGAAACGAGGTCTTAAAAGCAGTGGTTGCACAGTTCAACGCAGACCAACTCCTCACAGAGCGTCCTCACGTCTCAGCGCTTGTTCGTGACTCGCTAATCAAACGTGCCAAAGACTTCAACATTGTGCTCGACGATGTCGCCATCACGCACTTGTCTTACGGTGTTGAGTTCTCGAGGGCCGTTGAGCAGAAACAAGTGGCTCAGCAAGAGGCAGAGAGATCAAAGTTTGTGGTGATGAAGGCTGATCAGGAGAGGAGAGCAGCGGTTATAAGAGCTGAAGGTGAGAGCGACGCTGCTCTGTTGATCTCTGATGCTACGGCTAAGGCAGGTATGGGACTTATCGAGCTTAGGAGGATCGAGGCTTCCAGGGAGATTGCAGCTACACTTGCTAGGTCTCCTAATGTGGCTTACTTGCCCGGTGGCCAGAGCATGCTCTTTTCTCTCAACCGTTAGATCTTGATTCAGATATAAGGTATGTGTAATCTGGATTTATGGAGTTAAGATATTAATTTGTAGGATTCGTAATTGAGTGAGTTATCAAATGTTGAATCTGCAGGTTGTGGGAACATCTACGATATTTGAGTGATCAAATTGTGAATCTGGATGGAATAAAAAAAAAAGGTAAAAGTGGTCTTTTTATCTTTGTGATGAACGCTGAAGAAGCTGACTATTGGCAAAATTGCTCATTGAATTATATTACCTTGTTTGAAATATCTAATTTTCAACAAATAAATCTGTTTTTGCTATGATTAAATTTGTAAAAATCATAGTTTATACAAATAATACTAAGTAAATATTTTTAGCATGTTCGTGTAAAATGGCTATGATATTACTACATGTATATCGACCGAGGACCTATCCCATAAAATAAATGGGACTCAATATAAGTTGATGAGCTGAATTCTTTTTGGCGAGTTATACAATTTTGCAGATACCTTTAATTTTTAAAAGTTTTAAGATCTTAAGATTTTCATCCCCACAAAAAAAAATCTCTTACATGTTATGTAATTTTTATTTCTACAAAGGCAATTAGTGGAACGATCACAAAAACAAACAAAGTATAAATTAGTGAGCTGAATTCTTAACATTCCATGATTGGGATCATGCCTGGATACATCCACAAGCCGGAAAATATGGGTATCGTTTCACGTTCTGGAACATCGACATATGAAGCAAGACGCCTCTACTCCTTAGCTTCTTCCCAGGAGAAGAAGCTATATCTCGCTAGGCTCCAAGCACGCAAATAATCCACAAAGTCTTCCCAAGAGAAGAAGCTCGCTAGGCTCAAAGCTGAGTCATTGTTTCACGCTGACCATAGCTTGGCACTTCATAAAAAAAAGTATCAAGGAGATATCCATCCATAGGGCCAATGTCAGAAGAAAGATTATGTATGGTAACAATACAAATCTCATCTTGGAGAAGCTTGAAAATCTCAACCGTGTTACCATACGGAAGTCAGATTCAACAGAGATGACTTTCAGCCATAAGAAAGTTACTTTTGCTCTTCTTAGCCGGTATTTACCTACCCCACCCACGGTTTGGGTAGATAAAAAGCTTGTTTGCATACAGAACCGCGTGATGGGAAGAGAAACACTTCCCTAATGACTTTTTGATGAAGCAGTTGTTAAAGCTTTTTCTGGTTTTGTTGCTAGTTTGTGCACTACAGTGATCACATTGTGATTATTTTTTGCGCGCAATTCTTTCCAAACTGTCCCAATTGATGCGCCGACAACCAACTAAAGTTACAAAAGTAAAGGAGCCGGAGGAACCTCCAAAATTAAAGGAGCATGAAGAAGATGAAAAAATAGTGGAGCTTCCGAAAAAAGAGGAGGAACCTAATGGAAAAGAGCAGACAGAAACAGAAGAGGAGCTTCAGCGAAACAGAAGAGGAGCTTCAGCGAAGCAGAAGAGGAGCTTCAGCGAAGCAGAAGAGGAGCTTCAGCGAAGCAGAAGAGGAGCTTCAGCGAAGCAGAAGAGGAGCTTCAGCGAAGCAGAAGAGGAGCTTCAGCGAAGCAGAAGAGGAGCTTCAGCGAAGCAGAAGAGGAGCTTCAGCGAAGCAGAAGAGGAGCTTCAGCGAAGCAGAAGAGGAGCTTCAGCGAAGCAGAAGAGGAGCTTCAACGAAGCAGAAGAGGAGCTTCAGCGAAGCAGAAGAAGAAGATCTTCAGCGAACAGAAGAAGAAGATCTTCAGCGAACAGAAGAAGATCTTCAGCCTAATGGAAACATAAGAGGAGCTTCAGCGAAACAGAAGAGGAGCTTCAGCGAACAGAAGAAGAAGATCTTCAGCGAACAGAAGAAGATCTTCAGCCTAATGGAAACAGAAGAGGAGCTTCAGCGAAACAGAAGAGGAGCTTCAGCGAAACAGAAGAGGAGCTTCAGCGAAACAGAAGAGGAGCCTCAGCGAAACAGAAGATCTTCAGCGAACAGAAGAAAATCTTCAGCGAACAGAAGAAGATCTTCAGCCTAAAAAAAAAAGATGAAAAAGAAGTAAATCTTCCAAAAAAAAAGAAGATGAATAATAAGCGGGGCTTCCAAAAGAAGATGAATAAGTGTTTATAAAGTTACAATCAGAGCAATAGTCATTGTTTGATTTGTGCGGATATCAAAATTTATTAAAATATCCAATATCTTTTGTTATTGACGTAGTTAACCTGTAACATTTTTATTGACAGTAAAAAAATATATTTAATTTTAAATTGTTATAAAAATCTTTAATACCCATTAAAAAGTCACTTAAATTATGAATATTTTTATTTGAAATTCACTTATAAAGATCCTAAGTAGAGTTGGTTCTAAGATTTGAAATTCTATAAGAAAAGAAAGAAAAATGATAGTGCAAAATCTGATCATGAGATTTTTTCCTCAAATTTCGATAAAACTATAAATATGTTAAAGAATTGGCCCTTCAAAATTTTATAAACCCAAACACTGGAAACACATGCTAAATGAATTTGAGTTAGCTCACAAAACAGTATACTATGTGAATATAAGTTTAGTTTATCTAGTTTTTAGTTTAATTATATAAGAAAACTAATTCATAAATGAGTTATAATTATTCTTTGTAGTAAATCAAATTAAATTATGGTTAAATCAAAACGTCAATGACTCTTCAAAGTTTCAGAAATGCATTCTATAAACCAATTTTTTTTCGTTTTCTAGTTTTCTTCTTATGGATTATGTTAACAAAAATCACTAAATATTAACTGTTAGCAAAAAAGAAACAAACATCACAAACTAGCCAAATTCACTTTGGTGAAATATACCTTCCAATTGCATTAAACCATATCAAAGCCAACATAAATTTGAAATTTGAATATGAACTAGTCAATATATAAGTGATTGCAAATTGTAATTTATAGTATATAAATTTTTGTTCAGTGTGATTACATTTGGTAGTAGATTTAAATATAATATAATGTTTGATTAAAAATAAAAGATGAGAAATATGATCATGATTACTAGCAAATAAAAACATGAGGCATTTTTCATAGACCATCTCAACGATTAGTCTTTATACAAAATGACCACTAAATTAATTTTAAATTTATGGCTCAAGCAAATGTTTGATGGGCTTCTATTCAAAACTGGTTTTGGCCCTAATCAATTTGTTAAAAGAAAATTTGTATAACAAAATATAAATTTACAAGCAATATTATTTCCTTTAGTTATATATATATATATATAACAAATATTAAAAATTCTATTAGAATTTGAAAAAAAAACTATCTCTTTCAAATTATATAATAATACTCCCACCGTTAAAATAAAAGTCCTTTTTAAGAATTTTTATGTTTTAAAATATAAATCATTTTCTGTTTTCAGTACAAATATTTGAAAAAATATCACTTTTATCCATATTCTTTTGGCTAATTAATTAGTGTAACATAATATATAATACATTAGTGACGAGTAAAATAAAAAAAATTAAAAGTTTTCTTAAAAATGTATGTCTGAGAAAACCTTAAACTATTTCTATTCTGAAACGGAAAGGAGGGAAAATATTTTAATAAAAAGAAGTAAGTACTTTTATTAAAATTAGGCCCCTAGGCCAATGTTTCCCAATACATAATATAATAGACACATGGCTCTGTATACACATATATCTATGTTTATAATGTAGGAGGGATCCAGATGTAGCCATGAGTCTGAAGGTAACCAGCTTTCTCTAGTAGCTGATCGGCTTCTTCAGGTCCTCGGCTTCCTGGTTTGTATGGGATTGACTTCACTTCTCCTTTGTCAATCCTGTGAAGTAACGGCGTGAAGATCTCCCATGCAACCTTTATTCATCAAAGAAATTAGCTCCTAAATCGTATATGATGCCAAAGTTAATATGTTTCGAATTCTGTATGAAGCAAAACTGACGTTTGCAGTGTAACAAAAGAGATCTCTGACATTGTTTTGGTTCAAGGGTGGAGAAAGAAGAATGTTTTTTTCTACCTTTAATTCGTCTCTTCGTACGAAATGTTGTTGATCGCCTTTGATTCTGCACATATTTAGGAAAAAGATGGTTAATTAGATAACAGCAACATGAAGGAACAGAACAAGCCAATTGGATGACGCATTTAATTTAGGCAAATGATTTCTTACGTGTCAAGAATTAAGCGCTCGTATGCCTCTGGGATCGAGACACCTTGATAACGTTGTCCGTATGACAAGTCTAGTTCACTTTGCACGGTTTGCATCTCTAGACCCGGTTGCTTAACCTGTGTAGCAAAACGCATAGCCACAAGAGAGTCATGGTTCACTGTAATGGTTCCAGGTCGAAATGAATCTTTCCTTCTACTAGTTAGTATTTTCATCATATGCTTACAGTTAGTTTCATGTACATTGCCTCTGAAGGTTGCAAGCGTATCACAAACTCGTTCCTCCCTTGCTTCTGACCTGTTGCACGACAGTCTCAGTACATAAATTTCAATTCGAAAAGCTAAAAGAAGAGCTTAAGCCACAGCTAAAAGTAAATGTGAGAGCAAGAGATTACATCTGAATATGTCGCCTGGAACATCCTTGAACTGAATTCGGATTTCTGCTTTCCTTGAATTCAACGCTTTCCCAGCCTTTAGTATAAATGGAACCCCTGAAAGATATGTCTCAGTCAGCATGTCAACAAGGCACCAATCAAATAGTAAAGTCAGATTAATTACTCAGTTAATGGGTAATCATAACATCAACTAAAATACTGTCTTTTGTTTTTAAAGTGTTACAGTGTGTGAGACCACAATTAACAGTGGCGAAAATGGAGTAAAGCCACATATATATGACCACGAGACCATGTGAAAGCACATTTTTTCTCATCTTTGCGCATATGCATACTCCATTGATTAATAATATCCATTCAATGACAACATGTTCAATCATATTTCTGAAAAAATTATGATACAGAGCAGTTGGAATGTGCATGCAAACATGTGCTTCGACCAAAAGATAGAATCTATGATCATGTTGACCCATCAAACTCTTTTTTTTTTGTTTTCTCATATTTATATCAGTTTCCAGATTGTTTTTCCAAGTTGAACTGATAAATGGAAAAATGAAGAGTGAAGTGACATGGTACCTTCCCATCTTTCGTTATGTATGCGAAGAATAGTTGTGGCAAACGTTGGAGTATTTGAGTCATCTGGAACAGTGGGATCATCTCTATACCCTTCGTACTGTCCAAGAACCACCTCTTCATCTTTTATTGGAACCACAGATTGAAGCACCTGAAGTTCATTACAATAATCAGTAACTTTGAACTAATTGGCTGAAAATGCAAATGAATGAATCAATCAGTCCAAGTAAACCTGCCAAGGAGATTGCTAAAGGAAAATGTAACTAAATGAAACAGTGATGTACGAAAAGCATATGAATGCAGAGAAGAGAGGCAACAAAAGCTTGTTACAATGGCTGGAAGAGGAAAATGAAAATATTGATCACCTTCACTTTCTCATCTCGGATATGCTCGGGTTTAAGAGAGATTGGTTTTTCCATGGCAACAAGGCAAAGAACCTACAGTACTCTAAACTCATTTAGTTGATACAAGAGAACATACACTTACAAGGAAACACTGACGAAAACAATCATATAGGGACAAAATGTAAGTTTGGTTAAGAGGAAGATATCTCAGGTATACTTGCCTGAAGAAGATGGTTTTGAATAATATCACGGATAATTCTGTAAAGCAGGAAGTGAACATTTCATCAGAAACGCACTGGTTCAATCTCAATAATATCATATAAGAAGAACAAGAAGACACCAAAGAAAGTATTACCCATATTCATCAAAATATCCGCCACGACCTTCAGTTCCAAAATCTTCCCTGAAAACAATCTGCCAGAAAAGCAATTGAAGTTTATGTGCATTCCACTCTAATTAACAGTTTGACCATATCTTTCTTAGCTATGCAGCTCTCACCTGCACGTTCTCGATATTGTCACGGTTCCAAAGTGGCAAGAAAAGGCGATTGGCAAATCGGAGGACTAACTGCAGGTGATGCACGGAATAAAATGGTCATTGATTTTTTAAGGAAAAAACTTGATCACTAGACTCTAAATAGTCAAGCATGTTACCATGTTTTGGACCAATTCCTTCCCAAGATAATGATCTATACGATAAATCTGTGATTCATCAAACAACTCTCCAATCTGAGAACTCAGTTGCTCTGCAGATTCCAGGTCCTTGCCAAATGGCTTCTCAACGACAATCCGTGTCCATCCACCAAGATCAGCTGGAAGTCATGAAACAATATAATAAATACATAGATTGCAAAGCGACTGCAACTTTTCCAAGCTGATCCTAGGTGCAAGTAGGTTAATCTTTAGTAGCTAATAAAGAAATTCCGCAGCTGAAAGGGGCTCACATTTGTTCATGCAGCATGTCTTGATCATTTTGCATACAGAAGGATAAACAGACGGTGGAAGTGCAAGGTAAAACAGTCTCCTAGAGGATCCTTCAGTACTATTTTTGGAGATTTCATGCTCTGAAATTGCGTTGTCTAACCTCTGAAACCCCTCTTCAGAATCATAAGGGCCACTCACATACTTGACCTACAGGGATTGGAACCCAAAAACACTCTTTTCAGAAACCCAAAAAACATGACTCTCTAGGTGAAATTAACATCCAAAGAGGAATGGACTAACCAACTGTAGAAAATTTGACAAAGCTTCTGCTTGCTCTGCGTTCTTATCATCAACAAGGTATCTGCATGCATAAAGCTATTCAGTTTTGAGCTTGGACTAGAGCTAATAAACAACTGTACTGAGGTGACAAAGTTTAATTGATGCGTCGAAAGATGTTCAAACGAAAACAACTCATCAGTGCAGCACAACCAAAAGGAGGTTGAGCTTACCCGCGGATCCGATTTCTCAGCTCTTGATCAGAAATCTTAGTCCTCGCATACCCAAATATGTGAACTTCGTCTGGATTGAGAAACCCCTGCTCATGCAAACCAAATATCACAACTAATACCGAAAACAAGAGGATTCCACAGATGCAAATAGCACAATAAACGTATAGCTGCTGGTAATGAAGTAACCTGACGGTATAGGTTAAAAAGCGCAGGAAAAGTCTTCTTCTTGGCAAGATCACCTGAGGCACCAAGCACTACGATTGAAAGACAACCAGTTTCTAGAACTGTGCCGTACTCTTTTACAAACGAATCATTCCTGAAAGTAGACCTCTTCTCAACGTGCCATTGACCAGATCCCATCTTCGAAAAGCTTATATTCCACACACAAAAATATCAATTTCACAGTCAAACACACATAACACTCAAATTCAAATATATACAAAGGATTCTGTGCTGAATTGGAATCATTGTCCTCTACGATCAAAAGACCAACAAAAAAAAAAAGCAGAGAAACTGGACAAAAATAATAAAAATGTCACTAAGCCAGCACAAATACCGAATCTCATCAGCGAAAAAGCGATCACACACTAACTATACTATATGCACGAATCGAAATTCACTGCTTCCAGTTTCATCTAAGCAAACACAGAGATCAAACAGAGAACCGAAAGTAGCTAGTTATATGCATGTAATCAAAGTTCCAGAGAGAAAAATAGGAGACAAAATCAAAACGGAACAATCTCAGCTAAGTAACCACACAATTAGGATCAATGAGATCTGAATAGGAAGAGTGGAGAAATCAACCTGGGAAGAAGAAGCACGAGGGATCGGATAAACGGAGAGCGAGAGAGAGATAGATGGAGAGAAGATTTTGAAGGAGAAAACGAAGTAAGGATTAGGTGAAGAAGAAGGAAGAAGCTTCAACTACTACAATGGGGTCGGGGGTTGGTGTGGGTTTCAGCTTCCGTCAAATGATTTCACTTTCTAACTTTTTTGGCATTTTCAGATTTTTGTTCTACGTACGGATGGAGAAGCCAATTTTGTTTTTTTCTTTCTTTCTTCAACATTTTCATTTTTCTTTTAGATTATTCTGATAATGCATATTTAAAAAAAAAACATTTGTCCTTCGATTAAAGTTGATTTTATAAAAAAAAAATAGAAAAAGGATAGTATACAATCGCAACAATAATTTGTGATCTGAAAATTAACATTTTAATAGAATTTATGTCAAAGTTAATTTTGGTCAAAATAATATACATTAAAATAAAAATATTTAAATTTTCAAAAATTTAAATATTAATTAGCACACCAAAATTATTCAAGTAATAAGTAGTATTAATAAAAGAGTTGAGATATGGCTGCTTTTCGTAAAATTCATCATGGTATACTATTATTTTTTCTAATTTTTTTTTTTCAACATACCATTTAAAAAAAAAAATATTTTAAAAATGCTTAAGAAACCAAATTATTTTTGTGGCCCATTCATAAAAGGAATGATCTACTTTGTCTACAGATCTCTTGGGCCCATCCATCCCGGAAATTTTTGTTGCAAATGATATATTGTGATCTACAGAATTGTGCTCGGTCTAGGGTTTGCTTCCAACCATATCTGTTTTGTGAAGGCATCGTCTCGTAGTGAATCCAAGGTGGACGTGGACAAGAATCAGGAAAATGATAGTGTCGAGAGACTTGGTCGGTTTCTTGCCAGTTTTGATTGGGTAGTAAGAATAAGAAAGGCAGATAGCTTGGAACGCAGTGGAGAAGATCCTTGCAGAAAAGGAGGCGAAGAAATCAAAATCCTCCTTGACTAATTAAGACTGACCAATAATTAATTAAGGCCCTGTTCGTTTTTTATCTAGATGCTGCATCTAGATTTTGCATATAGATCAGCATCTAGATACAATATCTAGATATTGTTTGTTTTAGAAACTAGGTTTTGCATCAAGATGCTACATCTAGATATTAAATTGTTCGTTTATGAATTTAGAAAAATAGTTGGATGCAAAATACATCAAATGAATAAAAAGAACATATTTTTGAATTAATATTTTTAATAAATGATGTTTTTATTAAATTAAGTTTTAAAAATATATGAATTTTTTCTTTTTTTGCATTTTTTGTGGGAAATCATCATTTTATATATTTGACGGAAAAATTTTTTACTGGAATTTTGAGTTTTTGATGGAAAATTTAGATATCGTGTTTTTTGCGGGAAATCGAGATTTTGCGTTTTTCGGCGAAAAACCGAGAGTTTTCGTTTTTGGTGAAAAATCGAGATTTTGCGTTTTTTGGCGAGAAATCGAGATTTTGCGTTTTCAGCGAGAAACCAAAATTTTTCTTTTTTTGGCGAGAAATCGAGATTTTACGTTTTTTGCGAGAAACGGAGATTTTTTCGTTTATGGCAGGAAATCGAGATTTTCGTTTTTGGCGAGAAATCGAAATTTTGCGTTTTTTACGAGAAACTGAGAGTTTTCGTTTTTGGTGGGAAATCGTAATTTTGCGTTTTTGGCGAGAACCCGAGAGTTTTCCTTTTTTGGCGAGAAATCGAGATTCTGCGTTTTTGGCGGAAAATCGAGATTTTGTGTTTTCGGCAGGAAACCGAAAGTTTTGTTTTTGATGGAAAATTGAAATTTTGTGTTTTTGGGGAGAAACCGAGAGTTTTCATTTTTTGGTGGGAAATCGAGATTCTGCGTTTTTGGCGGGAAATCGAGATTTTGCGTTTTTGGCAAAAAACTTAGATTTTTTGGTTTCGGCAGAAAATCGAGATTTTGTGTTTTTACAGAAAATCGAGATTTTGCGTTTTCGGTGGGAAACAGAGAGTTTTCGTTTTTGTCGGAAAATCAAGGTTTTGCGTTTTTGAAAAAAACTAGATGCAAACGCTGCATCTGAACTCTCTATTTCTCAGCATCTAGAATATCTAGATATTTGAGATGCTAATCAATTTGCATCCAGATGCTGCATCTGAACACAAATTTTTTTTGTGAAAAACGAACAATATTTGAACATTTACAGCTAGATGCAGCATCTAAATACAAAAACGAACAGAGCAGTCTTTTGTTTCATCTTTCCTTTTCTTGCATTGCATAACAATAATTAAGATAAACACTCTGTTCTGAAATGTAATGTAGGAACATGATCCTTTCCTTTCTGCTTTTCCTTGGTTGTTTCTGGAACCAAAGCGTTACAAAAAATATTATGAACTCTTTCAAAGTTTGGTGAATTGTGTATTTTCCAAGTTGTTCATGGGGAGATTTTCAATACTACAGATTTGAACGCTTATATATTTGGTGAATTGTGTATTTTCCAAGTTGTTCATGGGGAACAAATGTTTGGTACTGTTGAAGACTAAAATACGTTTATATACAGAAAATTATAAAGTAAACCGGATTGAACAAACATCAAACTAAACCCAAACACCCTAACCATTATGAGGAATGAAATTGTCGACCCGTGGTCTATCAGAACTAAATTAATTTTGGATATTTTTCCAATACAACATGACCCTTTTTTTTTGTAATTTGGCTAGAGAATCGAGTTGAATACTATAGGATTCGTTCTTAACTAACGTTGTGTTCGTTTGTTTGCTAAGTAGACAATTGCTCCATATAAAAACCTGGCAGAGTACAAGTCTTGTAAAAAAACTATTTTATCTGCTTCTTAGGAGGAATATAAAAACCACTAATTATAACCTCAAGTAAAATTGCAACTACTGTAAAAGTAAGATTATATATGTAGTAATGAAAGCATACACAAGTAAAATGGCAAGTCCATAAGGGCAAGAACTCTTTTGAGAAAGTCGAGCAAACTTTGAATATTTTCTGTTGGATCCGGAATACAAACATGTATTAATAGGACTAAAACTAGTTTTCAAGCATGTTTCCTCTCTTTGTCTGTTGGTATATATGAGATTAATTATATTGACATTTTGTTGATTGCTTTCTTGATTTGCTTCTAAGCTACACCGTGGAGTATTATCAACTGCTGCTTAAAGATACCTAAAAGAAGTACATACTAAAAACTAACATTAGTATATATAGAATTATCATAATTTCTAATACGTCATTTGTTGTTTTGTTAAGTAAGTACGCGATCTTATAACTAATTTTGGGAAATACAGAAAGAAGATTCACGACGACATAAGCAATATGGTCCTACAAATGTGTTGCGTTGGTTCAAATTCAAAGGACAATGCAGAGAAAATATATAAATACTACTCCACATATAATAAAAACCGACCGTTGGACTGATAATGCAATTTAATAACAGAAAATTACGTACATTGTCTATCAAAATCCACCAGGTTTCGTTTGTTATTGCAATTGGCTTGGCACTATTAGTCTAATCCAATATCATCTAACATTAATAATCGTATGGTATCAGTTCATTTTGCTAAAGCATGGCCAAAATTGCAACCCTTAAAAGAAATCCAAATATAACTTAATCGGCTGCAGTTCAAAAACATGTTTTTGGTCTTCGAATGAATACTAAACTGTTGCTTGAAATTATTATTTATTTATAATACGCTGGAAACTGATATTTATCATATTTTTCCGTCCTTAAACTCAAAAATATAAACTAGTTTAAAAAAAAAGAAAACTCAAAAAAAGAAAATATAAACTAGTTTAGCACCTAAAAATCTTAATCCATAGAAGAAAATGAGCTTCCACGGTTGTTCCCGATTTAAGTTCCGTTATTATCCAACCGTTGAGATTTTTAGTTTTTAGGGAAAATTAAAAATTAGATACGGCAAAAAAGTGGGACGTGGCTTCTTCTGATTTGTTAACAATGCCGTAGGCGCATATTAGCATTTTCCTCGCGTCTTCATTTTGAAAATGCCTATGATTAACTGACGTGTCGTCGGGATAAAGTCCAAAACTATTTTACAAAATGAGTACTCTAGTCTTTAAAACATACGTAAAATCTCTATTCTATTTTATTGTCACATAATAACCCATGATTCTATTTTAATGTACACCCCTTTCCCTTGTATCGTTTTCAGCTGTAACGATTCAGGTATTTATAAGAACCTAGGGACACTTTCCGTAAATTGTTTATGTTCAGGGGGTTCATTTTTTAAAAGTCGCCGGAAACAACACATTTCGATCGAGATTCAATTAAAAGGGGAAAAAATCGTAAAAGAGGAGAGAGAGGAAGATCGGAGACGACGGTGATGACGATGGACAGAGAGAAGGAGAGAGAACTTGAGCTCGAGAGTGCAATGTACACAAACTGCTTGCTATTAGGTTTGGATCCGAACGTGATCGGACTCGGAGCCTCCAACGGCACGCCTCGGGTCGGGTTATTCCGCCATTCAAACCCGAAGCTCGGAGAACAGCTTCTCTACTTCATCCTCTCCTCTCTCCGAGGACCCGCTCAGTCTGCAAAGGTTCGATTTCTCTCCACTCTCTCTCTCTCGCTTACTCGTACGAAATCGGTTTTGGGAATCTCGGTTTTGAACATAGTGATTGGCTCTCTGCTGGTTTTAAGGCTCTGGAATCACTCGTTTGATTTTGGTTTGTCTCGATCTCTCAGGATTTCGATAAGGTCTGGCCAATTTTCGATTCGGCTCAATCTCGCGATTTTCGCAAGGTAAACGGCTTGAGAACTTGCGAAATTTAGATTTCCAGTTTCTTTGGTATTTGTGGAAAATCGTTTGCTTATTGAAATCATAGTTGAATTATGCCAATGAAGGTTGTTCAAGGGATTATTAGCGAGCTTGAATCACAAGGGGCATTACCAAGGAGTAACTCGAGGGTTTCATCACTGGCCACTTGCTGCGGACCAAGGTTGGTTGAGGCTACGCAGTGATGTGATTCTTATGTTTACATTCATTCGGGTTTCTAGTGCTTGATAATGAGCAACTAGTTAGTCATTATCTGCTTCCTATCTCGTTGGGCATCTAAGGTTTAATTTTTCTGCTTAACATGTTGAGCTTTTGGGTTTTCTCTGAAGTTCCAAGCAATTGAGCAGCATTATATGATGTAATATGTAAATGTAAAACCTCCTGTTTTGATTGCAGATTTGTAGAGCTCTTATGGCAACTTTCATTGCATGCACTTAGAGAAGTTCATAGACGGACATTTCCTGCCGATGTGGCTTCCAATCCGCTGCCTTCTTCTCTAACAGACGTATCCTTCTCACATGCAGCTACTTTGCTTCCTGTAACCAAGGTAGTACCCATATGTTTTCCTTTCGACATTGCGTGTCATACTTATGTTGGTCTGTGCGAACCTTGTTGACTAGTGCATGGAATAACATACATATGCTCGTTTCTATCTTTGCAGGCCCGGATAGTGCTTGAGCGCCGACGATTTCTTAAAAACGCAGAAACTGCGGTACAAAGACAGGCCATGTGGTCTAATTTAGCCCATGAGATGACTGCAGAGTTCCGTGGTCTCTGTGCTGAAGAGGTAAGACGTTAGGTGTTCTTCTTTGGTGAGAGGTACTGATTTGTTTTCTCTGGGTATATTGGTTTATTGATGCATTTCATTTTCCTTTTTGTTGGCATCAGGCATACCTGCAGCAGGAACTAGAAAAACTTAACGATTTAAGAAACAAAGTGAAACAGGAAGGAGAAGTGTGGGATGACCTTGTTTCTAGCTCCAGTCAGAATTCTCATCTAGTGTCAAAGTCCACTCGGTTATGGGATTCGATAATGGCTCGAAAAGGTAAGGTCTTTTTATGCTGTTCTATGTATTCGTTGAGTTAACACAGAGAAAAAGTACTCAAAATATAGAATTATGCAGGAGTGATATAGTTTTATGGTTTTATCGTTTGTCACCTTCTTCAGGTCAGCATGAAGTTCTTGCGTCAGGTCCCATTGAGGATTTGATAGCTCACAGGGAGCATAGGTAATTGGCCTCTTAGAAGACACCTACTCTGAATTCCACTGACCAATATTGACGTCTCGTTTCCTTTGATCTGTAGATATCGAATTTCAGGATCAGCCCTACTTGCAGCGATGGATCAGAGTTCTCAAGTTCCTCGTGCAGAATTACTGTCTGCCCATTCGGATGATTCATCTCTGTCACTTGCAGATGACAAAGAACTTAGTGATGGATCGTACGCAAACATGCATGAGCATTCTCTTGGAGACAGTTTCGAAACCACCTCACAAGCAAGTGATGAAACAGTTTCTCGAGTAGATGATAGAGGTGGAAGGATCAACCAGACAGTGGATGTAGCGGAAATCATAAGGCGCTGGACACACGCATTACAGCGTATTCACAAACAGTCTCTTCAGCTGGTATGTCTCCTCATACCTCGATTCACTGAAGTGCTTTTAACCATTCTGGCTAATTATACGCTTTCCTTCATTGCTTAATGCTCCACACTCTTTTTTTTCTGCGAGGAATTCAGTTCCATGAATTTGTTACTTATCTTTCATCTATACATGTTTAGGCTAAAGCAAATGATGGGGATGGTCCAGATATCTTGCGGACTGCAAATGATGGAGGTACAAGTGGGCATGTTGAATCATTGGCTGCAACTTTGACTGAACATCAACAACATTTAGCTAGCTTTCAGGTATATGTGTTACTTGTTTGTTCCCTTAGGTAAAAGTTGTTTTCTGCCAAGCCAAATGCACAGCTTAGAAACATAAGCTGCTTTTGTTGACGAAAAATGTCAATGAAACATAGCCTCTAGACGGCGTACGCTGTAGTAATAAAAAAATCTGGTTTTCTAGCAATTCTGTTGTATTTATAAAAACGCAGTACATGTTTGATTGGATAATCTTGGAGTTCCGTTTAATAATTTGAAGAGTATGGTTCAGCTTCTCTTGGGAGAGTATCAAAGTTCTGAGACCGATGGAGTAATTACATCTTTTATTACCATGCTGTTTGTTGGATCTCTTAGAGCTTGCCCACAAAAAATTTCTTTTGCATCTAGCTCATATCTACTGGTTAAATCTCTACTATGTTCTTACTGCTGATGGCACACTATATGCAGGTACTCATCAACCAATTAAAGGAAGTTTCTCCAGCCATCCAAAAGTCCATTTCAGAATGTACGGAGAAAGTTAATAGTCTTCCCCCGACCTTACCTCCAGCTACTAGGAGTAACGGGCAAGCAGCTTCACTTCTACAATCTCAGGGGAGTGGGAGAATTACGGTAACAGTTTGATGAATTAAAATTTTAAATCTCTTCCAAATGCATATTGATTTAGATGCTCATGTACTTTTTTTCCCGCTCTTGCAATACAGGAAGGTGTGTCCAATGATGTTGCTGAGCTGACCTCGGCAATGTCTAATGTTCAGCTCGAGAAAGTCTCAGCTAGTCCTACGTTAAAGCTTCCACAGTTATTTAGCTCCACTCCTACTTCTTCTGGTAAAGGTGGAAATGCACAAAAGCGACACACAATGGCTTCTCAGGTCAACAAAATGGAAAGCTTGTCTGAGAAGAACTCTACAGACCAACCTCTGTCAAATACTCGAGCAGACAACTTGCCGGCTGGTGTGTTGCATAATTTACCTTCTCAATAAATGCTTTTTCCCGACTGTGATATGCCAATACGTAGTCACACAGACCTTTTGTCTTATAACTCTAAACTTTGGTTTCAGATACCAACACTTGTTTTGTCCAGAACCTGAAGAAATCTGTAAGGGAAGCTGCTCTATTGATTCCTTCCTCAGCAGGATCATCACGAGACAGTCAATCTGATGAGGGCTCCGAGCATTATTTCGTACCTCTTTCAGCAGCCGGCTTTTCCCGTTTTCCATCAGAAACCAAAGGCCTGCCTCTCAAAGGGTCTACGAGGCTACTTACAAGCGAGCCTTCGTTTCTCGAACCCAATGGTCAGGATAACCATGCGCCAAGCAAGTACAGCGATATACCTGACACGTTTGATGATTTAGATTCGTTCAAAGATTATGATAACGGGAACGGGTTTCTCTCAGTTGCTGGATCAAACAGTGTAACATCCGATGCACAACAATCGTTTTACGATGTTGAAGATCAAGTCTTTTCCCCACCTCTACTAATGGACTCGACTCTATTATCAGATACCTATGAAGACTTGTTAGGTACGTTGATTATCCTCTTTGGTGTTTACTCGACATCAGTCACATGACTCGCATAATGTTTAAGAACATAACTCGCAAAGTTACAGCTTTTACCCATTTCACTTTTTTTTTGCAGCTCCTTTGTCAGAAACCGAGGCTGCTTTAATGGAGCATTAGGATGAAGAAGCCCTGAATCAGACAGAGACGATGACACATATGTTTGTTTGATGAGGATGATATGACTTCGTTTGTGTGTTAGTGTGTGTGTAAAAAACCTCTAAGCTCAGGTAGAAGCATCGGTCTCTAATGTTTGGTTTTCCAAAAAAATATTACAGATTGATCCTTTTGTTTTAACTTTTTAGTTGTAAAGTAAAGAAAATAGTGAAAGAAGAGTTTGATCTGCGATTCTTTCTTTTATCTTCTAAATCTCTTTGATATTGATTGTGTTTGGTACTTAGTCTCTTCTGTTGTACATGCTAAATTGCTAATGAGCATCGTGTTAACAAACCTCATGTAGATTATTACAGTGACAGTTTGATAAGGTAATTACATTTTCTATTACGTACCTACGCAAACAGGCATTGCATGAGCACTCTAGGAGAAAGTTTCGTTTTTTATGAATTGGATTTATAATCCAAATCTTAACACAAAAAGCAAAGACGTCCAATAAAGGTTTATTTCATTCACCAAATAAGATCAACAATTAGGGAGTCAAACAAATGAAAGTTTTTATAAAAATATAATAAGACATCAAAAAGTCAAGAAAACAAATTCATAGATATTGAAACCAAAAAACACGACGATGGTACTGAAGAACTTAGTGGTTGAGACCAAGAACGAGAGCCACGGCGGCAAAAGCCAAACCGGTGAACATATTGGTGGCCGAAACGACGGCTGAGCTAGATGCTGGTCCCGGTGCCGGAGCCGGAGAATGGCTGTGACCTTCGTGAGCGGAGACGGCGGCGATCGTCGCCAATACACAAATCACTGCGATCTGAACAAACATCTTCTTCATCATCATTTTCGTCAAAAAACGCTGCGTTTTTGCTGAGGTTTGGTGAATGAGAGAACGATTGTTGTGTAATATGGATTGCGAGATTTGTTCATATATAGAGAGAAAACTATTGATTTTAAATATGTCGAGATATCTTCTTAATTAGGATCTTTTTCTATTTATTTTGGATTTATAATAAAGATTTGTTTGTTTTTTTTTGTTTAATTGGCCGGCTTTGTGATGCATTAATCAAGACAGCTACTCAAGATTATAATTTATTATGTCTTTCACGTTCCTATAATTGGGCAATAATTTGGACTTGAAAAGAAAAAGCAAAAGAAAGGGTGAAATAAATATTTGCAGAATTAGAAAGTTTGAAATTGAATTATTGTTTTTATTTTCTAACTTTTGTAATCAAGTAAATTATTGTTTGTTGCCTTCTATGGATAGCCAATGAAGGGTAAAATTAGCCTCATAAATGCAAATAGAATCTTAATATATTTAGTTTAATATATAATGGATTTTAAAAGTAGACGTGGAGCCAATTCGTTTTCTGTGGTTAGCAATTTTAAATAAAAAATCCAGAGTAGTATATGTAAATATAATAGGCACATATAGTAAATTAAATTGTGCTTATTATATCAAGGAGTGATATTCACCATATATCCTACCAAAATTATAATACGGTAATAACGTTACTTGGCTTAAAGTTGCGAAGATAATCACGTTAGTTGCGGATGTGCCGCAGTAAACGCTATTGAATAAAAAATATATATATAATTCGCATTATTATTACGGGTAGCAAATATTGGTCTTTAGTAGAATAATCAAAGAATTAAAACCTGTAAACCATGTGAAAACAAAACGCCGACTTGATGATTAGGGTGATGATTGGTTTACACAAAGAAGTTATTCATATTCTGATAAGCGTAATCATTAATCAATAATCATCATCACAAATTCACCACCATGTTTCATCTTTTGATAAACCTAAACTTAGAAACTAAATCTATCTTGACGTATTATTTAACCTGTTAAGTAAAGAGTATACATTTGTGATTTGTTTCTTCTTCTTTTTCCACCGGTAGCAATCAAATATTAACAAAATTAGATTCACCACCATGTTTCATCTTTTGATAAACCTAAAATTAGAAACTAAATCTATCTTGGCGTATTATTAAACCTGTTAAGTAAAGAGTATACATTTGTGATTTGTTTCTTCTTCTTTTTCCACCGGTAGCAATCAAATATTTACAAAATAGACGTATCTACATTATTTTTTCACCGTGGATAAAAAACAATTGCTGTAACTATTGTGCTTTCAATTGCTTTTTCCTCTTCCGACCAACCCTTTTATCGGCCCACGAGCTTATTTGAGCTATAACTTCATCTTCAATTCTCTTCTCTTCTCTATCCCACACTAAACGCTGCGTTTTACGATCTATGAAATTTTCCAGAACCCAATCTCTAAGCCCAATATCTCTCACCTCGCAAAACCTCTCAGCCCAATCAGACGGTTCAACGGGTCGGGTCCCTAATCCGAGTGCCCGATCTTTCTCTTTGTTTTGCCAATTCGCCACGTAAGTCGCAACTCTCCTTTTAAACTTCTCCTTAAAAATATCCCAAACCTGATACTTGTAATGGTTAATTACCATAGTACCCTTATCCACGTCAGCAAACACGAACCCTTCTCTCAGGTGAAAATGGTGCATGATGTTTATCAGCGTCGCGTTTAGGGATTCCGGTCGAATTATACTCTTGTGCCTCTCTGGCAACGCCATTCAACACGTGTACGCCGCCGTGACTCCGTCGCGTGGTGGATCTCTAAGACCTGACGGTCCGAAGCTGTGACACGGCGTTCGAATTTCGCCGATCGCACCGGACGATGATGGTGTTGTGTGATTTCTGATGACTTCGATTAGTGTTTGACCAGACGGGATGTAGAAGAACTCGTCGACGTCGATAAACGCGACCCAATCGCACTCTCTTTGTGATCGAATCGCACAATTGGCGAATCCAGCTTCCTGAGTTTTGATCCACGGCCAAAAATGTCTCGAGATATTGTAACCGCGTTTTTTCAGATTCGTAATCTCGGAAACTATGTCGTCGTCGCTGTTGTTATCGTAGATGAACCACCGTTGAACACCGATTCCGGCGTGGTACATCACCCACTCTCTCAAAACGTTGGCTGTGTTTCGCGTCATGCTGCAAACACACGTTTCAAACCGTTTCTTTTTCGAGTTTTTGACCCGACCCGGATGGTTAATTGGATGGGCAACGGAAGGAAGCATCACGCTTCCTTTGATTCTCACAGAGACTTTCATTGGAGGAGACTGGACCAGTTTTGGGTCGTCCAATACTGTTAACGGCGTTTTACACCGTACGATTTCTTGAGCCGCCGAGATAACTTTTGATCTCAGCAAAAGTTTGGGTTTCGTGAAATCCCAACCATACACACACTCGTATCTTGACACGTCAGCAGCTCTTCCTGGCCGTAGATTTAGCCCCTTGATGAAAACCACCGTGGAGTTATCATGGTCTATCACGGCGTCGTAAACCAGCCAATCCCAAAGGTGCGTGGGTCCTACCAGGAGGTGATTATCAACTGTCCATCTCGAAACGACGAGCGATACATTATTGCCAAGTGGCACGGCTGAACACCGTACGATCTGACGGCCAAAGTCGTCGATTTCGACGGCGAGCGGAAGCTCTTTGTACAGTTTAGACGAGTCGTTTGCGTCGGAGAAAACGCAAAAGAGGTCGTGTTTTGTAAATAACCAAGAAGACGAAGGATATTTTAGGAAAATCAATGTTTGGTACGGAGCCACCGAGAACCGTCTTGACCGATGACCGCACCACCGGCCGAAATTTTCCTGAGTTTTCCATTAATTTGTTATGAATTAACGATTAAAATAATCGGCGTTTAAAATTTAACGGTTGTGATTATAAAAAATTGATTACCTAAGAATATTACCAAAGCAGAGAAGAGAACGAAGGAGAAGACGAACAGAGCAACAAAACGGAACAAAAAATTGATTACCTATTAGAGTGGTATGCTTCGCCCTGACACCGGTTTGATCAAAAGGATCATATCCACGGGCACGGCCGGAGTGAGATGCCGACGATGGAATGATGGCCTTTGCGGTGTTGTTTCCTAAGAAGGGACTCTTCTGTGTCGCAGCCAGTTGGCGGTGTCGGGCACTCGTTGCTCGGGCAACTAACTGAGCTGCTTCTCTGGCTTTGACATTTTTGGCAAGTGCAATCGCATCGAAGTCTACGTCACACGTCTTCGGGTCAATTTAACAAATACTAGGCTCTGGGGCCTCTTCTTCATTAACGGCAGCTTTCTTTCCTTTTGCATCCCCGGGGGCGTTAACACTCTCACACGCACCAACGTTGACATTAGCCTTCTTCGAAACATCATCTTTCTCTGAATTACTCTGCAGTTTATTGTCAGAAACATGCATGAATATACAAATGAGTACACCAATGCTATAATTTAGTAACATGTTTTTTCATAGTCTGAAAATTGTAAACAACAAGTTTTGAAAACATAAGTAAATAATCTCAAATGGTACATAACAGTAGTAAACATGTTCGAATTCAAATGACATTAGTATTAAGTGTTCGTAACTTTGTGTGATCTTGTTCGCATGTAATGTTTTCGTATAGGCGGAGGGTTTTTGGAACTAACCCCTTCATGCTTCTTGGATCCTGTGACCTGCTGCTGGGTTGGCTCTTCCTCAGTGTGCTTCGCCGACCCTGTAGCCAACTCTTCTACCGCACGCTCTACAGATTCAACCTTCTCGGTGAGAAGTTTGATCTGCTTTTCACAGCTACCAAGACCACTCAGCATCTTGGTTGAAAAGCTTTCGAAGCATTGGTCGAAGTGCGCTTTCATAGTAGCGACAACTCCGACCCCTTGATCACCAACGAATGATGCGGCAGATGCAGAGGCTGTGCAGGGTCTCTTGCGACTTGATTCATCTGAGGGAAGGCTCCTCTTTCCGGCTTCTGACTTGACGATGTGTGCACCCAAAACACCTTCCAAAGGCCAATGTTCTTTTAAGAACTTGAAATTGGGGTCATGGAGTGCATTGACAATCTTTACAATATCTGGATCATGTTCGTCATCGTCCCACACGGGAAACATATCCGCCAAGTCCTTAGCCACGCAGGACTGTATGCGAGCCTGGTAAAACACGATGAATAAATGGGTTTAGAGCCATATAAAGCCTCGATAAACTACGTATGAAGTCTACTCCTGAAGTCTAACATCGAAGTCTACTCTTGAAATCTAACATAGAAGTCTACTTCTGAATGTCACACACTATTAATGACACATATAGAAGTCTACACATGAAATCTACTTCTGAAGTCTACATTGAAAACTCATTACTACATAGAAGTCTACTACACTAATACAGTACCTGTTTTAGCATGTTGGCTTTGACGTTCTTTCGTCCTCTGGATCCTTTGTAAGCCAGCAAAAGAGGTTCTTCAATAACATTTGGCAATGGTTCGCCAAATTCAGCAGCAAAATCCGGTAGAGCATAGTAAACCCACAGTTGAAGAGCTTGCACAAATCCTTCTATATGAATGTTTTTGCTGAGATCTTTCTCCTTAACAGAATTGATCAAATGCTGAAAAGCAATTCTTCCCCATGGAAAATCCTTAAAACTTTCGAGATCCATCACTAGTCTGGCATAGTTGACATTTGTGGATGAGCCGGGTCTCGTTGCCACTATGAAACCAGCGTAGATCCCAAGATAACCCAACCGCAGCCTATCATCACGAGACCATGATGAGCAGTTGGAACATGCTTCGATAATTTCGGTAGTGCTTGGGCCCGACTCGGCATCGACCCCCATTAGCTCCCAAAATGCATGTGTGTCATCGGTAAGCGCAAGATCAGTTAAAGCCAAGTCATCCACGTACCCGCAGTTGAGTCCGGTGATCTCCTCAAACTCATGCAATGAGGCTCCAGATCTCGTACCTCTGCTTGCAAACTATCTGAAAGGTCAGCATGTGGTGCACCAGCCTAGAAGCCCAACCAAAATCCAACTCATGGAACTTTAAAAAGACACCCAACGGTGACTCGTAAATCTCTTCCCATTCATCCTCCTCTAGAGCTGACTTTAGTGCAGGGACAAGCCTATAATCATCAGCGTAATAGCCGATGCTTTTATCCGGGACTGGCTCATACCCTTTGGTGTAAAGTCTTCTGGGGAATTCAGAGGCCATTATCTAACAAATATTCCTGCATCAACGGTAACAAAGGTCTAATGAGAAAAACTAGTAGAGTAACGGTTTGAAGTCTATTCCCGAATGAAGTCTACATTTTCAAAATGAAGTCTACTTTATCAAAATGAAGTCTACATTCCAAATTGAAGGCTACTTTCAGTAAAAGAAGTCTAATTTCACACAAAGAAGTCTACTTTCACAAAAAGAAGTCTACTTTCACAAAATGAAGTCTACTTTCACAAAATGAAGTCTACTTTCACAAAATGAAGTCTACTTTCACAAAATGAAGTCTACTTTCACAAAATGAAGTCTACTTTCACTAAAATTACAGTATATGAAGTCAATCTACAAAGTTTAGAGTGTTACCGCCTTTATTAGATGCAGTTGGCGCCGAGAAAATACAACCAGATCTGGTAAAAAAACCTAAGTCAAACCCGACGGAAAAGAAATTACAGGAAGATAGAAGAAATTTAAGAATTGCTAAGTATATAACTTCGGAACAACATCTACTAACCGTTTTGAGGCAGGAAATTACTTTAACCTCCAACGGCGAAAGCAAATCTGCAAAAAAAAAACAAAAACCCTAATTTCAGATATGGAAGACGGAACGGTGATGAATACGGAGGAGTAGGGAAGCATGGGAGTGTGGTTGGAGAAAGAAAACTTGCCTGAACGAGTAACGAGTTTCTCCGCGGCAGTTCTGAATGTCGACGGCGCGGGAGGAGAGAATACGAATCGCCTTCGAGTTTTTTTTTCTTACACGAACTTTTCGACGGTTTTTTTTTTAACGGGATCTGTAATTCGTATATATAGTCTGGTAATTCCGTACGGTTCGGGTAAGTTTTTTCCGGTTAAAGTTGCTAATTTTCCGGGGTCTAGGTTAATTTACCCGGTTAAGGGCAGTTTCTCTTGGTTAAGGGAAGTTATTCCCGGTTTAATCTCGGTTAAATGTCTATTAGGTTAATTTTTACGGTTTAGTAGACTTCAATATCGAAGTCTACAAATTTTAAAACCTAAATAATATATTTACTTCTACTTAATTTAAAAACATAAATTTTTATTTATCAATATGAAAAAATAATTTATGTACATTTGGGTTACAATTACCAAATTTATGAAGGTAATTTTGATACCAAAATTTTTTTTTATAAATTTTTAAATTAAATTTACAGATTTATTACTTAGTAGACTTCATTTAGATAAAACGAAGTCTACTAGTAGACTTCATTTTCACTTTAGTAGACTTCGTCAGGGAGTAAACGGTAATTAGGACATCTGTTTTTTGTTTACTCATACAGGATTAAATGGTCTTTTCACTACCTCTGTAGGTTATATCTGGAAAACCTTTTTTCAGGGGTCTACTTTTGTATTTAAAATCAAGTTTTGGGTTATTTTTAGCAAAAACCCCTTGTTTTTTTAAGCATTTTTTTAAGAACTAGGACCCGCCTGATAGGCGGGTAAAAACGGAAAATTAATATTAAAATTTATTTTTGATTAATGAAAAATATTATTTATAACCCGTAATTTAAAAATTCGCAAAAATCATAAAACAAAACATATTCGAAAATGTATACCCTCTAAAAGAAATTAATGAGATATATAATAATTTAAATTCATAATAAATAATATACCGTATAAATCGCTTTTTACATTTTTCAAAGTCCTCATAATTTCGAAGTTAAAATTATTCAAGGGGTATTTGACAATATTGTTGTCTCACACAGGCAATTGTTGCTCTCTTAGTTAGTCTAATTTGAAATTTATGATCAGAGACTTTGTAATTTTTTATTGCAATCTTGCACATTGAAGTTGCAAATTTCAATCATATTTCTTTCACATAATTCACCTTTAAACTTTCAAGTAGAGAATGATGCAGAAAACCTATAATAGTATTTTTCTGTATTAGAATAAAATTTAATATTTTCAGATAATATTAAATTAAAAAAATTAAATTTATTAAAAATATAGGATAAAAAATTAAAATATTTACATGCTCATAAAAGAGGAGAAAATTCATCATTATAACGTCTTAATCGAAGTTTTTGGAAAATTTCGATTCCTAAAGTAATACACATATATTAAATGCTTTTTATTCGTAAATTATTAATAGATTGATATCATTATAAATACGCATAGATTGCAAAAAGTATTAATTATAAGACATATAGATTGGTACGCATAAAAAAAGTATCTTATATAAGACATATAGATTAAGACGTCGGAAGTTATATTACAACATATATTGAAATAATTAGAGATTAATCAATAGGTTTATGAAAAAACACACCTCTCGAAAATATTTAAATTAGAAAGTGGCTGAAATTTTTAGGATTGTGTTTTTGTGTTTAATGAAAAATTATGAGAGAGTAGATCCATCCCTTTATATAAAGGTGATTGTTTATAATTTTTTGGGGATTCTAAAAAAAAAAAAAAATTCCTTAAATCCTTTTTAGTTTATGAATTTTTTTTGTAAATATTTTTTTCAGGAAAAAATTTTCATTTTTTGAAAAAAATTTTAATATTTTTTGGTTTATGATTTACTTTAATGATTTTCCTTTTTTGGTTATCATTAAAGGAAATAATTTTTATAAATTTGTAATTTTAGAGTTTTCCTTTTTTATTTATATTTTTAAGAATTTAACAAACAAAATTTATTTTGACATATGTCAACATCGTAAAGCACCAAACTGCCACTTATCAACATCTTATGAGTTACTAACTTTGAAAGTTGATACTTTATATAATAAAATACCTACACATTATATATACTCAGATATAAAATATATAATTATGAAAAAGTTTATATTAAGACCCGGGTGTAGAAGAGAGAATATTTTTGTTGACAAATAAAAGGAACGAACCAAAAAAAATAAAAATAAAAGGAAAAATAAAAGAACTTGGTGACCACGCTTATTTTTAGGTTTAAATCGGCTCTACGCCGGAGTCTAGATCAAAGGTTACGGTATCGGTGAGTTTCAATTTCATTGGCAACACAGAAGCGAATCAAGAAGCTTCTGCGAACCAATAGAGAGAAAAGGTCGGTTTCTCGTCGACAAATGTCTCGCTTTCTCTTTCGAGTCCCCAAGCTCCCCTCTCGGAACTATGCTCTGCAGGTACGAGAAGCTTTTCTCTTCTTCCTTCTATCCTTTTGGATCTATGTACATTTGGTGTTGTCATTTCTTTTCTATCTGTTCATTACTTGCTTTGCCTGGCAGATGCAGAGCTTTCGTCTGTTTTCTTATCCCTCTTATTGTCAGAGAGACCCGTATTTCATCTTGGGTAAACCTAATAATATCGGAGATGGAGATGGCATCAATTTTTTCAGTCTTCGCACTTGCTGTTTATGTTATTTGAAAAAGGAGATACCCTGTGAGTTGCTCGAGGGAAGGGGACTTATCGGAGCTTCCCGAGGCTGGGTCGCTACTCTAAAGAAGCGCATTGTGTGTCTTCACGATGATATGAACTTAACTGCATCAGAGTCAAACCCAAAACGCATTTCATTGCCTCCTCTTGTAACTCTACCTCATTGCCAGACCCAGATTGTGACCAGCGTGGCCATGTCCTCTTCTTCTCCTGAGAACGACGACTGTATTGTGGCTGTCAAGTTCTTGGGACCTCAACTCAGCCTTATTAGGCCATCTCAAGACTCCATGTGGACCAACATCAGAATCGCAGACCCTAGTTTCTCCACTTCAAATGTCATGTTTTCCCAGAGAGACAAGATGTTTTCTTTGCCAGCTTCTGGAGGCAGCCACATGGGATCGTGGGATCTACACAAACACAGGGACAAACCCAAGTTGCAAAAGTTACTTTTTCAAAACCTTCCCAGGTTGAGAAAGACAGAAAGGGAGCTTTTGGATTCTTGTTACAAAACCGAACACTTGGTGGAGTCATCAGCTGGCGAGACTTTCCTTGTTATCTGGTACAGGTATGGCACTGAAGATATGTCGCATTTTGAAACCAAAGATTTTAGGGTGTTCAAGCTGGATGGGAATGGAAACGCTTTTTACACTAAAGACATTGGAGATTTTAGCATTTTCTTATCAAAGTCGGAGCCTTTCTGTGAGACGTCCTTATTTTTACTCGACAGAAACTGCATCTACTATGTCGATGTCCACGAGTCCAAATCGACCATTGAGTTGGGAGGTTTTAGTCTCCGCAGACCTGGTAGCGCTGAAATCAACTTCTCAACGCACCACGCGACCAAGGTCCCTTACTATTTTCCAAAGCAAGCTATGCGATGAATTACTATGTTATTCTTTTGTCAGTTCTTAGGCTACGAGCTTGTTTGAGTCTGTCTCTTACCAACTTGTTTAAGAGAAACCTGATTTTGGGTCTGCAATCTAATTTGAAGTGCCTTTTTCTGTCAACAATGTCAAATTTGAATTTGAGACCTTGTCTCTCATAGACGATGTACTGAATTACATAATTTGATATTATTAAAACAATACGAGGGGACGCAGGGACAACGTACCTCCCAAGCATTGGTTGCAAAATACTTGGAACACGCCGATGGGACTCCTGGGTCAGGAATGCTGTCCATTCTTAGACCTGGATCACCCTTCAGAACAACCCTTCCACTCAAGATCAATGTCGAGACCATTCCTCGGGACCCAGCCACACCACTATTCGCCGATTTGGGAACTGAATTACCCATCCACATCACTATTCGCCGATTTGGGAACTGAACTACTGCGTTTCTCCACCGAGAGACTTGCATTCACAAGTTTTACCTCAGCCTTATGAATCATTTCTTGAACAGTTGATAGTGACATTCTGTCTGTACTGTTAACCTCCTGACAGTCGATAACGGATAAGCCCATTGAGGTGGCTTCTGCGAAAATGCATCCCTATGGAATGCCCTCTCTAGAAAGCTTGTGGGAATTACATGTGTCTTTAGCACCACCGCAAAATTTCAGAAAGCAAAAAAAAAAAAAAAAAAATAGAAAACATTATGAGAAACCCTTAAAAGAGCGATTAGAACGTAGAAGGCATGAATAAGAAAATAACTTCTGAAACTAAAAGCAGTAGCTTAACTATACTTTCTTACTTTTATATGTACCTGGGTGGCTCGGTGTTTCCGCTTTCAAAAACTTCCACGCATTTCACATACGGCACTTTTTCCCTAAAATTTAAAAGAACAGACTCGTCTTCAGGAATATTAACAACAGAATAAACTCCTATCCTCATTGGAACACAGATTCTTGAAATGTTATTGACAACGTTATCAATATCTGATACGAATCACTTACCGCACTGGAATCAACACAACAGAAACAGAGGTGAGGTTTAAATGCCGAAAGGATTGGGTTACATTGGTTTCAAAACACAGCTTCATGGGTGCTTTTGATGAATCTGGACCGTTTGGGCGAGGCCGCTACAATGAGAACATGGACCCTGAAGTTCCCATCACCAAATGGCGAAAAGAGTCTCAGTGGTTTGAGATAAACCGGGACCTCGTAGATACCATTGTCAAAGACACATGGTACTACCCGAAATTCAAAGAGTTTTGTAGGCCTGCTTGCCATGTGGGCGAGCATTATTTCCCGACGATGTTGACAATTGAGAAACCTGTGGCGTTGGCTAACCGGAGCTTGACGTGGGTGGACTGGTCTAGGGGCGGCCCCCCTCCCGGCTACGTTTGGGAGATCGGACATTATGGAGAAGTTCTTTGATGGAAAGAACTGCACTTACAATGGTCGTAACACTTCTATGTGTTATCTCCTTGCGAGGAAGTTTGCTCCAAGTGCTTTGGAGCCTTTGTTTCACATAGCTCCCAAGATTATGAGATTTTGAGTTAGAGAGTAGTCCCTCTGGTCTTAAAATCAAACATAGATCATGAAATGGATGTGGCATGGATTCTGTTAGATAGTCATCTTCAGACATGATGAAATCAAACTCTGATGCATGCATCTTCAGGGCCGTGTTTTCCATTTCTGTGTATATATGTCCCTCTCAAATAAAATTACCTTAACCGTATTATGCTAAACTATGCAGTTTATGATGAATGGTCTATATGATTACCTTAACCGTATTATTTACATCATCTATTGGGCTTATATGATGCAGAAAAGATTGAACCGAATATATATTAATCTTAAACAGAAATGATATAGGAAGGAACAAATAACCTCATCGCTCTGATCCGGGAAGATCAGAGGACCACCCTGTGGAGGCTTTAAGACCAACTCCACTAGCTCAGTAACATGCGTATCGCAATCTGTAGCTTGCACGATGCTTGTGCTCATGTTGTCTTTAACTTGATCCACAAGGATCGCTCTCTGAGTGATTTAGCAAACAATTTTAGTTGAAGTGGGATACCGTTGTCTTTTTTAAAAAGGTACGACTGAAGACATGCTAAACTATGCAGTTTATGATGAATGGTCTACGCATGCAAAGGTGCATCTTCGATCATAATCACCATGTCTGTGCAGTACTGTTACATGCTTTACTATTAATAAAGTTCAAGGTAATACGGAAGAACTAACCATTGTGGAAGACTGAGAATTCGTGACAAGGGCTTTTAAAACGTCAAACCTCGGAGGAGCTGGGATATCAGAAATAATCTAATCAAACAGCACAAATAAAAAGATTAGTAAGACGAGATATATAATCATCTGTTAATATTTTAAACCAAGCCACATAGATAACTTAAAGTTATGAACAAAGACAATATTTTAATAGAATGTAAACGGAAAGAAAGAAAAACAGGGCACATGGACTGAGGATAGTCACTCTGTGTCAAAATGGCCAACACCTCTTTAGTTCTTTAGGCTAATCAGCACAAGCGGTTTAAAGAAACGAATTCATTTCAAAGTTGTATAAGAAAAACGACCTTTAAGGAAACAAAGGCAGTTCTGCAACTGTCAAATAGTTTTCCACATATTGATTAAGTCAAGGTTTACTTACCGTCTTTAGTGTCTCAAATCAAATGTCTTCTCCCGCAGATCTGCGTCTGGAGCATACATAATCACTAAAGTAACAGCCTGGGAGAAGGAAATGAGATACTTAGAATACTTGTACAGCTGAATGGTGTAAGGATTTAAGAGATAAATATAATGCCTGTAAAGCAGCGTAGATGCTAGGTGTGTAGTGCGGACAATCTATTTGCTCGTTGCATTGAGATGGAGTTACTCCTTTGGCTATGTCAAGCACCAGTGGACCGGTCGTACGGGGACCGCTCTCCTCGAAAGATGCATTCGAAGAGGACTTCCTCGGTTCGAATCCACTCACCTCCCAGTTCCACCTATTGTTTTTACTCCTCTGATCGGCCATTTCATCCAACAACAACAAGCCAAACAATAATCAAAGCTGCTGCTGCTTCGAATTCGAAGCGGAAGACTATTCAAAAAAATTTGAATTTAAAAGTATATTACCGTTATTTCCCCTTTAAAAGCTTTTTTGATGGAGAACCAATACGCTGCCGCTTTGAAATTTTCCCCTTTTCTTATTTTTTTATTTCTTATATCGAGGGAGAGACACTAGAATAGTTGACTTTTCTTGACGCTAGTTCGCGACGCCTGTTCAATGATAAAAAAATAATACTATATGTATATGTATAAATCATGAAGGAACAGTACAAACTAATACTAATATTTTCACATGGTTTTATCTAGCTATATTTCATAAGTTAAAACTATACAAAATTTCATGAAAGTTTGTCAATCGCATTATCTTTCCACCAAAGTTTCTCAAATAAAGTCAACTTTTTATCCTCTAATTACCAGGAGAATGCAAGAGAAACATATACTTGCTTATTGGAAAGGAAACCCTCATGTTTCTCCAATAAGAGGAGATCTTATGAGATGTAACTTCTCCGATAAGTATGATCCTATGGTTCGTCTCTATGTCCAGGTAGGTACGTATATATATGTCGATCAGATCATTTTTCAATATTATGTCGACTCTTGATTGTGTTGTGATATCCTAATCTATATCGAGGCACACGTCATAGGGAGATAAGGATGTGATTTTGACATTAGACAATGCGTTTAGATTGGATTAAACTCCAATTTTAGCCTGTAAAACGCAAATAGACAATATACAATATTCTCTCTTTTTTTTTTTTTTCTGGTACTCATGTTAAATCAAGCAATATATTCTTGGCATTGATCTAAATCACATTTCGTATACCTAATAACAAAATCTAAATAACTCATCCCCCACACCCCCGTGTGTTTCACCCGCGAATCATTGTGATGCCATCGCCAGAAACTGCCAATAGCTTCCTTTTTTATTTAACGTATTGAGCTATGACAAATCACAGCTTTGCAAGAGAGATCATCATCAATGAGCCACAAGTTCAATTCCGCAAGCTTTGTCCGAATGACATTGGAGTCAACCTCAGGTGACCAATACGCCACCGGCTTGCCATCCCCCAACGATCGGTTTACGCTTTTGGCATTGGTATTCTCTGCAATGCTCATCGTCTCTACTGTCTTAATCATCTTTCCCTTTCGTTCCACTAGCTCTTTCACAAGATGAATAAAATCTAGACCTTGTTTTGGGGATGGATTCTTCGTCGCTGAGGATACGATACTATGCAGAAGCTCACTGCTCCATAACTTTTGAGTGACCGATGAAGATTGAACAATCAATATTCCAGAGGTTTCCCCGATATAAAAGTCGTACTCTGATCTGATTCTGTCAAGGAGTGGACCCTTATCCACTAGAAGCGCATTACTTGAAAATATCCAGGTGCTGTATCCAAGTTCTAAGCATTTCTTAACAACGTAAGAATTGCCCAGAGCCTCCTTCACTGAGTTTGGGTAAGAAGTTGTGCTTTTTACCAAGTTGTCAAGAAACATATCCGCATCAATCACAGGATGTCCCCTTCTTGAAAGATCATAGAACAACTCAGAGCTAGGGCCTATAAAAATGTGGTTTTGAGTATTAAGCTTCTCGAAATGGCAGAGTAAGTTCCTGATAAACATCTTGTCTGCAGCAAATAGACTGACCAGAATTATGGTTCTCTCTCTCTCTGCACAGAAGGAAGGACGGCGCCAAGCTCATTCAGGTTCCTCACAATTCTACCGGGAACAACTTCACTGAAACAGTAATCGTACCACTTAAGGTTGCTCAAGGGTTGGAGTTTCAGAAAATCAGAACTGATGGAACTTTTATTCAGCAACTGCGAATCTGGCCCAGCGGTTTTTCCATAGTTAACACCAGCATCCCTGTGAGAGACACTCAAAGCCCCCTCATTTTGGAAATTGGTGTAGATGTTAAAATAGCCACGAGAGTGAATAAACTTTATGAACCAAGGTGTCCATATTCGTTCTCCTATCCTCTTGTACCATCCATTCGTCACCTGAGCAGACATGGCAGACAAACAAACGACATAACACTTGGAATTATGAAATC